TGTGTTTTTACTCTTTTTAAAAGTACTTTTGTCTATTGATATAAACTTAAGGTAATTTTTGTTATAACATATTGTATATGTGTTTCCACCCTTGTTTAAAGGATTTTGTATATTGATAACAATTTAAGGTTATTTTGTTACAACATATTATATATATACTCTTTTTTTAAGGTAATTGTACCTATGCAGTTCATTTAAACATGTAAGGTAAAATTCTAGTTTTTGAAAGCTGAACTATTTAGGATAATCAAGAAATATGTCAGTAGTTAGTTCTCTATAATAAGTTTGTAGATAGGCTAGGTATTCTTTTCATATCATATAGAGATATATTTTAGATAGATTGTCTTCACACCTTTCAAAGACCTATAAAATATGGTATTTAAAATGTTTGTTAATTTAAAGATTTTCATGACAATGAGACACGCCTGCTCCTGGCAGTACCAATTTACTTCAGAGAGGATGGGCACTGAAGAAATTCCTTATGGAATTCGCTGTCATTGTGGCAATATTAACCATTTTGGCAAGAAATTAATTTTGCCCGTACTAATTGGCTGTATGTTGTATAAACTGGACATGCAGGAACCACAGGGAAATGACCACTGAAGTTTGGCTAAACAAGGGTAGATAGCCCGTTAAGGGTTTCTGCTTCGCAGAAGAAAATTCCAGACATTCTGCAGGACACAGAATAAAGTGACTGGCAAACTGCCAACATAGATAGGACAGTTTTTCAAATTTCCTGCTTTAGTGTAAAGTTTGCCAGATGCTATGGCCATGTAGGCTAAAGATACATTCCCAACATTGCAAAGTAACTTTGGGTGACTGTCCAGGCAGTCATATGTCTCTGTCATTTCTAGAGATTTTAGAAGTCATTTGCAATGAACTTTTTGTTTACTTAAATTATATTATATACTTCTGATGCCTTTGAAGGAGTTGAAGACTAGGTAGTATTAGTTGCAGTTTTCAATAGAAATGACAGAAAGTAAATCAGGTATAAAATTTTGGATTTACCAAGATAGGATAGATTATGGAGCATTTTCTTTAAATTTATCAGACACAGATGAATTGGAATTCAGTATATTGTGAATATAATCTTTACTTGATAATTGTTCTTATTGTATAGAGTCTTACTATGTTAATTTTTTTCATTTTGGTTTAGAAAGAAAAAAAGAAAATGTTGATGAATATTATTTTAAGGTGTCTTACTTTCATTTATGTTGTATTTGTTTAATTGTGTGAAGCTGTGATTGTTTGCCTGTCTAAAATGCCTGATGGTATAATAAAGAGATGAATGGCTAATAGCAAGGCAGGAACACGGTGGAGCTGGAAGGCAGAGAATATAAATAGAAGAAGAAATGAGGAAGAGGGAGAGAAAGAGAACAAGAAAAAGAAGACATGAAGGGTCAGCCACCCAGCCACCCAGCTACCCAGCCAGCGACAGAGTAAGAGTGAAAGTAAGATATATGGAAGAAAATGAAAAAGCCCAGAGGCAAAAGGTAGATGAAAAAAATTTTTTAAAAATAAGCTAGCAAGAAACAAGTTAAGCTAGAACTGGGCATTTGTAAGTAATTATAAGCCTCTGTAAGTTCTTTTGGGAGCTAGCCTGAGCCCCCCAAAAAGTCAAAGGAGTAAGACATCTCCCAACAGCTGCAGGATGCACCACCATGTCTGCCATACACTGGATTCTGTTTTGCCAAGGCCCACTCCACTGCCCAACCCCACATACTTCATCACCCTCCCTGTGTTCAATCCACCCCCAAAATTCCAGTAGACTTCATAGACATAGGCATACACCACACCAGTTGGGAAAACAGATTACATAGGCACAATTACAACATACACCAGTAAGAAGAACAGAAGGATACTCGGAATCTAGACACCCAAACCTCCACAAACGTCATCTGAGACAACCCTACAGGACCTGAAAACCTGCCAACTACCAGAATCCTTGGCTATTCAAGCCAAAAGACAATAAAGGAAATGGACAATAAAGTAACAAACCACCCATCCATCAAAGGAAACAAAAGAACCAACACACATAGCTATAAACATCCCAAAGCCAGATGCATAAATGCCAGTTCAAAAATACATTCAATGACAGAAAGGACAATATGTCACCGCCAGAACCCAGTGATGCTACTTCAGCAAGACATGAACATTCCAATGCAGCTGAAACAAAAGAAAATGACCTTAGCAATAACAATATGAAGATGATACAGTCCCTTAAATAGGAAATAAAAAATTTCCTTAAAGAAATCAAGAAAAAGTCAAAAAAATAGAAGGAATCAATACATTGCTTAAAGAAAGCCAAGGAGAAACAATCAAACAGATGAAAAAATGGTTCAAAACTTGAAAATTGCAATAAAAGCAATAAAGTAAACACAAACTAAGGGAATTCTAGAATTGAAAATCTGGGTAGCAAACAGGAACTACAGATTCGAGCATAACCTACAAAATACAAGAGATGGAAAAAAGAATCATGTGTTGAAGATACTATAGAGGAAATAGATTTGTTGGCCAAATAAAATGTTAAATCCAACAAATTTCTTATTCAAAACATCAGGAAATCAGGGACACAATGAAGAGACTAAACCTAAGGATAATAGGGTAGAAGAAGAAGAAGCAGAAGAAGAAGAAGAAGAAGAAGAAGAAGAAGAAGAAGAAGAAGAAGAAGAAGAAGAATCCCAGCTCAAAGGCACAGAATATATATTCAACAAAATTATATAAGAAAACGTTCCCAACCTAAAGAAGGACATGCCTATGAAGATACCAGAAGCTTACAGAACACTAAATAGACTGGACCAAAAAAAAAAAAAATTCCCTCACCACATAATAATCCAAACACCAAACATTCAGAATAAAGAAAGAGTATTAAGAACAAAAAAGGCCAAGTAATATACAAGAAGACCTATCAGAATTACATTTGACTTCTCAATGAAAACTCTGAAAGCTAGAAGGTCCTAGACCACTTTTCTGAAGACACTAAGAGACCACAAGATGCTAGCACAGACTACTATACCTCACAAAACTTAGCCATCAGAGAAATGCAAATCAAAAAAAATTGATATTCCATCTTAGACCTGTAAGAATGATCAAGATAAAAGACACTGATGACAGCTTATTATGAACAGGATGTGGAGTAATAGGAACAGTACTCTATTGATGGTGGGAGTGCAAATCTATACAGATGCTTTAGAAATCAGTATGGCGATTTCTCAGAAAATTAGGAAACAATCTACCTCGAGGTCTAGCAATACTACATTTGGATGTATACCCAAATGAAGCTCAATAATAATCATACCACAAGGACATGTGCTCAACTATGTTCATAGCAGCATTATTTATATTAGCCAGAACCTGGAAACAACCTAGAAGCCCCTCAACTGAAGAATGGATAGAGAAGATGTGGTACATTTACACAATAGAGTACTACACCCTGATAAAAAAAAATGACATCTTGAAATTTGCAGGCAAATGGACAGATCTAAAAATAACATATTGGGTGAGGTAACCCAGACCCAGAAAGACAAACACGTAGTCACTCGTAAGTGGCTTTTAAACATAAAGCAAAGAAAAACAGCCTACAGTCTAAAACCCCAAAGAACCTAGATAACAGAGAAGACCCTAAGTGAGACATAAAAGGATCTACATAGGAAGGAGAAAAAGATAATTTCTTCTGAGTAAATTGGGAGTGTGAGGGTCATTGGAGAGGGTAGTAGAGAAGAGGGGAGGAAGAGAGAGGAATGGAGAAAATGTATAGCTCAATAAAAACAATTAAAATTTTTCAATCATCATAGATGGAGAAAATAAGATATTCCATGACAAAACCAGATTTAAACAATACCAGTCCATAAATCCAGCCCTGCAGCAAGTACTTGAAGGAAAACTCCAACCCAAAGATGTTAGCTGCATGCATGAAAACTCAGGCAATAGATAATCTCACAGCAGCAGAATGCAAAGAAGAGAAACACACACACCACACATACACGTATACACACACCACCACAACCACCAAATATGGGTATTAATAATCACTGGTTATTAATATCTCAGTATCAATCAACTCAATTCGCCAATACAAAGACACAGACTAAGAGAATGCATATGAAAACAGGACCCATCCTTCTGTTGCATGCAAGAAACACAGGTCAACTTCAAAGAGACATTACCTTATAATAAAGTGTTCGGGAAAGTTTTTTCAGTAAAAGGGACTTAAGCAAGATGGCATAACTATCATAATATCTAGTAAAATAGACTTCAAACTAGAATTCATCAAAAGAGACGGAGAAGGACATTTTATATTGATTAAAGTAAGAATACATGAAGATGAAATCTCCATTCAGAACATCTATGCCCCAAATATAAGGGCATTCACATTTATAAAAGAAACATTATTAAACCTTAAAACAAACATCAAACTTCACAAATTAATGGTGAGACACCTCTCTAACACTAATGGGCAGGTGTGACAGACAGAAAATAATGGAACAAACAGGTATAATAGCTCAATTGGAATTAACAGATACCTATACAACAATTCACTTGAACACAAAAGAATATACCTTCTCTCAGCAACTCATAGAACCTTCTCTAAAATTGATCACATACTCGGTCACAAAACTAATCTCAAGAGATACAAAACAGAATAACCCTATGTGTCTTATCAGATAACTATGGTTTAAAGTTTGAGTTCAACAACACAAACTACAGAGAGCCTACAAACTCGTGGAAACTGAACAATTGTTTGTTGTAGTAGGTTGTTTGTTTGTCCCATTTTCTCAGAACTGAAATAACTACACGGAAATTGTATAATTAAATCACTGCTTGGCCCATTAGCTCTAGCTTCTTATTGGCTAATTTTTACATATTAATTTAATCCATGTCCATTATCTGTGTATTGCCACATGTCAGCGGCTTACCGGCAAAGTTTTGGAATGTCTCAATGGCTTCTCCAAAACTCCTCATTCTTTCTCCTAGAATACAATTTAGTTTTCCCCACTTACCTCTATTCCATTCTCAGGCCCAAGACAGTTTCTCTATTAACCAATGGTATTCACAGCATACAAAGGGGAACCCCACATCAAATCTGGATAAAAGAAGAAATAAGAAAAAAATTAAATAATTCTTAGGATTCAATGAAAATGAATACACAACATACCCAAACTTAAGTGACACAGTGAAAGCAGTACTAAGAGAAAACCTCATAGTGCTAAGTGCTTACATAAAAAATTTGGGGAACTCTCACACTAACAACTTAACAGCACACCTGAAAGCTCTAGAACACAAAGAAGCAAAATCACCCACGAGTATGGCAGTAAATATCAAGTTAATAGTGGGACAATTTTCCTTTATTTTTTCTTTTCTTTTTCTTTCTTCATTTTATTTATTTTTGATTAAATTGGCACAACTAGAATTCTCCTAGAATACAAAACTCAATTCAAAACTGCCTCCATCAAATTGCCTGTATGAAAATCTGTAGGACATTTTTTATTAATGGTTAATATGGGTGATTCCCAAGCTCCTTAAGGAAAGGCCATGGCCAAACTCATGGTCCTGGGTGGTATAAGAGATCAACCTGAATAAGCAATGAAAAGCAACCCAGTAATCATCACCCCTTCAAGTTCTTTGTTTTTACTATATACAGGTTTGTGCCCTGCTTGAGTTCTTGGCCTGGCTTCCCTCAGTGATGAAACTGTAAGACAAAATAAACCCTTTGTTCCTCAAGTTGCTTTTGCTCATGCTGTTTTATCACCACAATAAAAATCCTAATTAATACACCACTGTTTTAATGTTTTAAAACATCCCTTGATTAGTCTGGGAAGATATTTGCTTGCAGAACCATTGTATGACAGACAACTGTTAGCAGAAATCTACATACAGCTCTCCCAAAAGAGAAGACAATTATTACCAAAGCCAAAAGTAAGAAATGAGAGGCAGAAAAAGGGAAATCAAAGAGAGAAGAAAAGAGAAAGAGAGGAAGGGAAATTGAGAGACAGGCAATGTTAGAACCAGGCAGGAAGAACAAAAGAAGGAAGGAATAAGGTAGAAATGGAGGACAGATAAAGGTTGTTAGATTGTAATGTCCATGTGTTCCCATGCCCATGGTTGAGGAAAGAAAATACAGAGCAAGTTGGGACTCCATCAAACGGACTGTGGGTGGGAGGGAGAGCCCAAAAAAGAGCCAGACAGACTGTAAGGAGTCCTGTGTACCTGTGCCCTTTCCTGCTGTCAGCTAAGAGAACATCGAAGGAATTGAGGCAATTTCCTCATATCCCTGTGCCCCAGATAAAGACTCCTGGGCAAGGAACACCTGCCATGCAATCCACTAGGATGTCCCAAGAGTATCTATCCTCTATCCACAAGGCAGTCATGCCTGACAAGGTTGTGCCAACAATGGGTACTCATGCCACACCAAAGCTACTGAAAACAATAGTGTACAGAAATAAAGTGAGAAAGAAGCATCGGCCTCAGCTGAGGCATTGGCCCAGAAATAGCTTCAAATCCAGCATAAGGCAGCTCCCAAGCAGACCCAAGGAAAACCCCACAAAGGTGTGTGTACCTCAGAGGCCTATAGTTTCTAAGGGCAAAGCCCAAAATCCATTCGAAGTGCACCGCTGCCTTTGGTCATCTTGTCTTCAGAATTCCACCTGTTTTGTCAGGGAGTCATGCCTATAGATTTGAGTCCAATATGTATGCTATCTTTAATAAATCTGGTCATAGCTGAGCTGGGAAAAATCACTGAGCACTATATGATTAAGAGATTCTGCAGGACTTTGATCTGCAGAAAATAACACATGCACACACATACGTGTGCACATGCACATACACACATACACACCGCACATGCACAGGAACACTGTATCTCAGATATTACCTGCCTTCTTAACCCCAGTCATATGCATGGGCATGACCCCAAGTCATCTCCTTGTGGTAGGCAGGAAATCATTATAATCATTAGGTGTATAAATATCTCCCCTCTTTTTACTCAAGTGAAACACAACACCATGATCCATAAAGCCGTTTACATCATGCTTTTCTGTGTGAACAGAGAGTACTTATCCCATACTTGATAAAGAAGAGACAGGTTCTACTGTTGTACTGAACTCTCTGAAGTATTCCTTTGTATCTAGTACATATTCTCATTACATGTTTCTTTTCTTGCTCACATGACTACAGAAGCCCAATCTCTAGAATGTGTGACAGCTATGTCCTACCCTATCCAGTTTTTTTCATTTGTAGTACTAGATCAACCTAGATGATAGGTATGCCTTGACTTGAGAGATGTGAGTTGGAGGACATTCCTATCAACCTTCAGTATTTTTCCAGTATCTCCAGCAAGGTGGGTGAGTAAGGAGGTGATTCCAAATGCCATCAGCTACACATTGATTACTTATTGAAGACAGTGAGCTTGGTAACAGAGCTATGGGCACTTAATCTGGCTACATTTCACTGAACTTGCCCTAGCCCATATGGGCACTATTGGATCCATTAATGACTGGCACTACTTCTACTCAGATTCACACTATGGAAGGATACCCCATTCTGTAACTTGATAATGAATGCAAACTAGCTACATTCCCCATTTGCATGCAACCCTATCAATGCCACCCCACACTCTTTGATTGGCCTGTAGATGAAGTTGATGTGGGAGTCCCCTTTGTGTGGTGTGATTACCATTAATGAATAAAGATAAACATACTAATGAAGATGGGTTAAATTAATATGTCAGAGTTAGCCATTAAGAAGCTAGAGCTAATGGGCCAAGCAGTGATTTAAATAATGCAGTTCCTGTGTGATTATTTCAGGGCTGATCAGCCGGGAACCAATAAGCAGCTCACTCAACAACAAATTGGTGCACCAACGTGGTGGACTAAATCCATATAAAACCTGAGATGGCTTGAAAAGAAATTCTAGACACACCAAAAAAAAAAGTTTAGCCACATTTATATTTCAGCTGGTGGCTTGCCACAGCTCCATTAAGGGAGGTCTTACTGATTCAGCAGTAGCAGCCACATGGTTTCAAAACAGCAGCTTCCTGGCCATGGGCCATGCTGTTAGCATAAACTCTGGCTCTTTCTGTCTCTTTCCAAGCATTTGGATGAGGTCTGTAAGCAGACTGATGCAGCTTGCTTAATGGCAACATTGACTGGCTGTGTGCTTATAGATGGGGCAGTGTGCATGGCTCTTAGGGGGTGGCGAGCAGCTCAGCCATGCTGGATTGTGTGGAATAAGCAGAAACTACCATATATACCATAGTAATGACACAGCTTAAGTTTTAAAAAGAGCTTAGTGTTTTAAAAGATATTCCTGTACAGGAAATAATTGCAATAAAGACAAATCCAGATAAGTCATAGTGCTAGATAAATGTACATAGGCTTGGAAGAGAGAAGAAAAAGAGTATAAAGAGTCATAAAATAAAGTTAATGCTTAAAAAGGGTAAAATCTTTAAAGAGACAGAGTACAGATAATCATAGATTAAAAGGAGTAAAGAAAAATAAGCCATGTAAAAATGGAAAATTCACAGAGTCTGGATTTTGTATATTTTTGCGTTATCTTTGAATACTGTGAATGAGCTAAGTACAGAAAGACATATATATATATATATATATATATATTATCCACAAATCCAGCCCTACAGAAAGTACTTGAAGAAAAACCCCAACACAAGGAAACTAACTCTATCCACACAAACACAGGCAACAGATAATCACACACTAGCAAAGCACAAAGAATGGAAACACACAAACACTATCACCAAAAATAACAGCAATTAGCAATCACTGGCCATTAATATCTCTTAATATCAATGGACTCAATTCACCTATAAAAAGACACAGGCTAAGAGAATGGATATGAAAGCAGAATCCAGGCTTCTGCTGTATACAAGAAACACACCTCAACATCTAAGACAGACATTACCTCAGAGTAAAGGGTTGGGGAAAAATTGTCAAATCAAATGGACCTAAAAAACAAGTGGGTGTAGCTATCCTAATATCTAACAAAATATACTTCAATCAAAATCAATCAGAAGAGATGGAAAAGGATACTTTATACTTATAACAGGAACAACCCACCAAGATGAAATCTTAATCCTGAATATTTATGCCCCTAATACAAAAGCATCCACATATATAAAAGAAACATTTATAAAGCTTAAATCACACATCAAACTCCATACACTAATAGCAGGAGACTTCAGTACCTAACTCTCACCAATGGAAAGGTCAACCAGACAAAAACTTAACAGAGAAATAAGAGAACTAACATAAGGCATGACTCAAATGGACTTAACAGACATCTACAAAATATTCCACACAAACAAAAAAGAATATACCTTCTTCTCAGCACCTCATGGAAACTTCTCTAAAACTGACCACATACTCACTAACAAAGAAAACCTATAAGAGATACAAAAATGTTGGAGTAACCCCCTGTATCTTATTGGATCACCATGTTTTAAAGTTAGAATTTAACAACAACACTAATCGCAGAAAACATACAAACTCATGGAAATTGAACAGTGTTCTATTGAACCACCCCTGAGTCAAGGAAGAAATAAAGAAATTAAAGACTTGCTAGAACTCAACCAAAATGAAGGCACAATGTACTCAAACCTATGAAACACTATGAAAGCAGTGCTAAGAGGAAATTTGAAAGCACTAAGTGCCTGCATAAGGAAAGTGGAGAAAGCTCATATTAGTGACTTAACCCTCCTGAAAGCTCTAAAACAAAAGGAAGCAGACTCACCCAGGAGGAATAGATGACAGGAAATAATTAAATTGAGAGCTGAAAACACCAAAATAGAAACAAAGAAAACAATGCAAAGAATCAATGAAAGAGTTGGTTCTTTGAGAAAATCAACAAGATAGACAAACCCTTATCCAAACTAATCAAAAGTCAGAGAGAAAACATCGAAATAAACAAAATCAGAAATGAAAAGGGGGACATAACATCAGACACTGAGGAAATCCAGAGAATCACTGGGTCGTACTACAAAAATCTATACTCCACAAAATTGGAAAATATAAATGAAATGCACAATTTTCTGAATAGGAACCACATACCAAAATCAAATCAAGACCAGGT